AAAATACATTGAATAATTTATTTGAAATACAAAATACAAAATACTTTTATGTGGGCCGCTGAAATTACAAAATACAAAATACAAATTGTATTTCAAATACAAGTATTTGAAATATGCCCAGCCCTGTGTGTATTATCCTTTAACAGATACTTTTATAAATTTCGATTTTTCCCGCATTGGCCTCACTGTGCGGCGCGGCGGAACAAAAAGCTTCCTCGTTCGGTTGTTTGCGAGGTTTCGCGGTTATCCAGTCGCGCTGTTAAGAACATTCGTTTCCTTATTCGGTTCCTTATTGCGTCCCCATTGTCCTCGTCGCGTGTAACATGCTCTCTCGCCTACCTACCTGTGGGTTAACATGTACACGTGCACACATCCCAAGCTGGATCGCTTCCTAGGCTAGTAAAAAAAAGAATTTCCCCTCCCCCCTTTGATACCATATTACGCAAAATCGATGTGCAAGACACGAATGAGCGAATATCCCGTGACGCAGTTCCCCTCGTAAACGTCATCACACACTCGCTATTTTAGACGTTCATTACGTCAAAGAGTCTATGTAATACTTTCATTGCGCTGATTACATCGGCTATTTTTCACGTTAACATCGATTTATGACGTGAATGTAATGCGACGTAATGAACGTTCCAAGTTTAGCCCATTCAAGAGAAAAATTTTTAATGAGAAAACCTACGATATTCCGTGTAACGTAATTTAATACTTTTAATTATAAAACTCAATAACATGTTTTTTTTATTATATAATAATATTAGGCATGTAAAATTTTAGATTAAATAAGACGAAATCAAGACGAAATAAGATATCTTTGCCAAAAAATCACGATTCGGTTTTTCATTCGATAAAACTTGATGCTTTTTTGTCGAAAATTTTAATGAACTGAATAAAAAATAAGTAAATTTCAATTCCTCACTATTATATTAAAGAATTGCCGCTATACTTAAAAAATAATAATAAACAATTTCAACTCTAATTTACATTATTATTAAGAAGAGAATATCGCTTCAATAAAATAGCAATATGTGATTTCCAATTGTATAAATTCTTTTATTGTATGTAATAATTTAGTATGTAAGTACTTTTAGTATGTAATAATTATTCTGTATTCTCCAGCACTGTGTTTGCCATTGTGCGACTCATTGCCTTGTCGCGTTACGCAACTAGCAAAGGTGCTTAGTAATATTCCAATATGACAAAAATAATAAATAACATTGAACCATCGAAAAGAAAGGCACACCGACCTTTTTGGCATCGTCCAACGTTGCGGGAACGTAGTGGGCATTGATCGCTTGCGCCATAGTACAGTAGTCGCGATACAAGACATATTGATCCTTCAACCAACGCCTAATCGCAAAAACTCTCTCCCGAAACCGATCGTCCGGCTTCGATTCCCAGTCGTTCACGTCTGGAAAAAGGACATTCTACATTCTCTATACTATAGGGCTGTTACTTTTTACTCACTTCGAATTGTTAACTTCGACCTTCCGAAGTTTAAGGTGCCTTCGAAGCTTCGAAGTTTAAGAGAATAAATTTATTTTTATTTTTTTCTTAATTGGATTGTTTCATTAATCATTATCTTTCCTTATTTACACACGTATATAAGTTTAATTATTAACTTGTATAATATTTCAGGTTATAATACTTTCAAATTTTTTAGGAATAATTTCGTATATTTTGAGCAAATATATTAATTTTTTGTATTTACAATATTTGTAAATTTTTTGAATAATTTTATCATTTGCACAAATATATTTTTCAAAACTTTGAAGCTTTGAAAGAATTCGAAGATTTTAATGTCGAAGCCTTCAAAGCAAACCACCAGCTCTACTCAAAACTAGGGGTTGTTACTTTTTACTCACTTCGAATATTCGAAGCTTGTTGACTTCAACCTTTCGAAATGTAAGATGCCTTCGAAGCTTCGAAGTTTCGAAGTTTTGAAAAATACATTAAAAATTTGAATTTTCTTAATTGAATTGTTTTACCCGAGAAAAAAGTTCCATATATAATTATATATAATTATATGCAAAATATATCCATATATGTTTCTTTCTTTTGTA